GTGCACCCAATGACGATGAGGTGTCATATGAGAAGTGGCGCCTGTGTCTGCATTCCAATCAATGTCAGCATCAAGTTGGAGAGGGCAATGAGGATCAGAGGGATGAATGGAACGAAGACTTGCATTCCCAGCTGATTCAGTGACCACAGTAGATGAATTGGCATTGTTGGGCGAAGATTTGGGCTGCTGAGAGGTATTCTGAGAGTTGCTGGAGCCTGCCTGAGCCTTATTGCCGCGCTTGTAGCGATTCTTAGCACCCTCCACTGCCTGTTGGCGACTAGCAATGTATCTGTGGCATTTGTCTTGGGTATGACCAAGTAAACCACAGAAATCACACTGAACGCGAGTAGAGGTGGTGGATTGGTTGCAATGATGGCAGTTAGGATGGGTGCAGATGCTATTGGCAGTGGTAGACGAAGAATGCAAGGCAGAATCGACTTCAGCACGACGACGGCGATTGACCTCTTCAGCAAGGAAAGCATCCCTGAGCTGGGTCTTGTCCAAGGTGCCCAGAAGTAGTAGAGATGAAGTGAAGTGGGCATATTGATCAGGAAGCGCCCTAATCATGGCCATGCATGTCAATTCATCGTCCAATTCAGACAATGAGAAGCCAGTAGGACAAAGATTTTGAATCTGATGCATGCCTTTGTCAATTCTGGTCATGAGAGACTGCAGGGACTCATCCTCCTTCTTTCTGATAGAGAAGAAGTCGTCATAGGCATTAAATCTCGTCCCAGGCTTCTTAGAGACGTGCACAATTGCCAGTTTCTCCCAGATCTTGACAGGATCATCAATGATGCCATCAAGATGGATGCACTGCTCTTTGGTGACATTGAGGTATAATGCACCAGCAGCCTTTTCAGCTCTCAACTCCCATTTCTCTATTGCTTCAGCGTCAGTCCCAGGACACTTTTCAGCGCCAGAGACGAGCCTCCACAGTCCCTTGGTCATCAACCAAGCTTGCATTTCACCACTCCACTGGGGGTAGTTAGTGCCAGACAAGGGATGGAACTTGGGATCAGAGTCAGACATGATGGGTGTTGTATAAGACAATAGAGCAATGATAAATGATGTAGGAGAAGGCTATAGGCGATGGAATAGTGGCAAAGACAATGGGCAACAGTAGGAGGCGAGCAGATAAGATGGTGAGGCGGTAGAGAGAGGATATGGAGAGGGTCAGAAAGCGCAAGGATAGGTCCAAATAGGGTCCAAAAAGCGTCCAAAAGCGATCCAGGAGGGTGCTAAGGCTTCCTAGTGCTGCTACAGGGTTACGCCTGTGTTCTTCTTTCAATTCCACACTGATATTAACAGAGAAATCGCCTCGAGACAGTGTTGGTTAATAGGGCTTGTATATGAGTCAACAAAGTGACTTAAGCTCCCCAAACACCACAGACTGAGAGAGGCTCTAGGCAACAGCAAACTGAGGCAATGCAGGCGAGCTTCACAGTCTATAGGCTTGTTCTATCTGATAATGGACAGAGTAGAGAAGATTGGAGCTTTATGCACACACTAGATATGCCAAAAAGCGAAAAATAGGGCAAAAAGTCGAAATTGATGCAGAGACAGATAAGATGGATGGATTGCCACCAAATAAGAGGTATAGGGAGAAATTTATAGAGTAATAGATGGCCCAAATATCACAAGAAGTGAAGCACAGGATGTGGAGATATGGAATAGGGGGCCAAAAGGTGGTCAAATGATGATGAAGGCTCACAGAAAGGTCCAGCTCAAATCCAACCGCTCTGACAGGTCTCCTAGGGTTATTTAGGCCATAGAAGACGATGGTAGAAGTTACAGGAGGATCAGACAAGGATTGGGCGAGATATGGTGCAGATAAGACCAAAAAAGCGTCCGAAATGGGGGTAACTTGCAACAAGGAGTTGTTGTTGGAGATCAAGATGAGATCAGAGTAATCTGAGGTGATGGATGAGATAATAAGAGTCCCAGAAGACAATGGTTACGATGGATAAGCAGTAGGACGCTTGGATGGTGAGATATGAGGTCAGGAAGATGGCTAGAGCACAGGGCTCATAACCTATTAAGAACAAAGCTTGAAGGAAGTGTCTAGCCACTTGTTGAGAGCAATCAGGGACTGGAACTGAGGTCCAATGTGAGTAACTATATTATTAGAGAGTATAACAGGTATACAGTACCTAGAGTCCAATGTGAGTAACTAGAGAATAGGAAGCATTGGACTCTGCAGTACTGTCCGAAATTTTGTAAACAAAGGTAAACAAAGCAGCCATAAAGGCGAAATAATAGAGAACACAATCAATAGTGAATGATAGAAGAATAGATAGAGAAAGGAATGAAAATATATAGGTAGCACAAAGGTGCAGAATCACCAAAACTAACATTCACTTGTTCACCTCATTACCTGAGCAGGTTACAAGTTATGACAGCATATCTCTAAAGCTATCAGTCAATGGTCTTCTGCCATTCGGACTGCGTTAGACAGGTACAACAAGCTTGCAGCCAAGCAAAAAAACCCAGTACCTGTCCTAGAATATTCCCAGGTGGTGTTGTACGCTTGGTTGGGTGAATTTGAACTATTGAAATGTTCATGTCATGACATTCTAAAGAAACCATGGGCTGTGCCATCAAATTGTGAACTGGCAGTGAAATATTTCAAGGTTATTCGTGCGCAAGAGGAAATCAAATGTCTTAATGTTGAAATCAGGAGGCTGCATGAGTGGGTTAATGCTGAGGATGCACATCTGCTTGCTACGGCTGAGGGTACTGCAGGTGATGAGTATATTGCATTGGAAATTAATGCCATGTATCTCACCCGTCAGCATGTTAACAATGTTCACCGCCATCGTCTACAGCAGATTTATAATCTCAAAGGCTTTTCTGGAGATATCAAAGACAATAACTCTGCACGGCACAACAATACCATCAATTCTCAAGAATTAGATAACGGCGACGATGAAGAAGATGATGTTTTATTTGAGGAGGTTTCTAGGATGCAGGAGTGCCTTCAAAGAATGTCAATATAATGAATTTTGATACCAGATGTAGTTTATGATACCGTTTACATGAATAAGAATGTCAATTTTATGTTGATTATATTGATAGTATGAGTGGTACTGGATTGTCAATTGCTAAACGGTTTTTGATGGTTTGCTATTTTTGTGTTTGTCATATCAGGATATCTACACCAGGACATAGTCTACAACTCATTTGATAAGCTGAAATGGCCAGCTTGTGACATGGCACTGAATGGTGCACTTATGGTCAGTCACACTCAATTCCGAGCTATTTTGGGCTGTCTTTTCACTATTCAGCAGAGCAGCCAATTTGATAAAGGTTTCCTGAAGAATTAGTTTGGCCAATAGCTGCTTATCACCAACTCTACAAATCACACTGACGCTTACTCACACGTGCCAAGTTAAGTGCAGTCACTGCCTTACGACACACTCCTAGGTGTTTCTTACTACCACTACTATCACAACAGATAATATCACTACCACTTCTGACACTATGTGTGCCATTCATAGCAGAGAAGCAGAGCACCGATTAGCTTATCTGGACCTTGGGGTTAATATGGTGAGCCTCACACTTTTTGTTTACCGTTCTAGTTCACACAAATTTCTAGAAATTTGATCATAGTGTTTGTCTTTTGGCTTGCTTTGAGATGAAGAAATCGAGGTTTTTAGGACTCGGGGAATCATTTTTTACAGTTGCGGTTTCAGAGAATGAGTGGAGTCATGCAGTACAAGATGCTGTTTCCTTGATACAAGATATATTTGAGAGCACTGTGGCACCTACGCTCTGCAAGGCTTGTTTTAAAGCTTTCTGGGAGTCCATTGTCATTCCCGATCATCTGAAGCTTCCAGGTATGTGTTTTTATATGTTGCTTTTGCCAGGGTACTTAAGGACTGTCACAAAGTCAACAACATTACCCTGCAGTTTCCTAATCCCATCTCCAACTCATCCGTCAACGACACAGGCCCACCTTCACTGAATAGCTCTGACAAATATTGGACGTATGTTGAGTCCCTTGATTCAATAATGACTGAAGACATATTCGATGCAACATTCACCACATTTGACGGTGAGACCAATAGTGGTAACTTGCCGGTCACATCCACTCCCCAACCTAGCAGTACTCCTGCAGCCTCCACCACCACCCCATTGTCGCCTCATTTGTCCTCCGGCTCCAAGCAGCTGCATAACTCTGACACCGACTCTTATTTGTCACTACACACGCTATCCAGTAATGTGCCCAGCTATAAAAACCATCCTCAAATGTTGTTTGTTAATGTGAGGAAATCCTCCAACAAAGCCTTGGCCAAATCACAGCAATCACGTTCCGAGTTCCTTCGTTACATAAACACTCACTTTGCGCCGACCAATCACTTGTTGGAGAGGGCTCAAAAGTCTGGGGGTATATCAACTGACATCAGCAAGGGCAAGGCAGCTACGCCTCCAATGCCCAGATACCAAAATTCCAGTGCCAAGGATGCCCCAGTACTTGCTCCCGCTAGCCAGCATAGAAGAAAGGCCTCAATTACGTCTACTCCACCTGACAATACGTCCACGTTGAATAAGCACGTTACCAAGGACAACAGGAAACCGGACACTGATCAGCCAAAGCACGAGGCCAAATCTTCTTTGCGATCTTCTAGGGTCATCCATGAAAACAAAATTGGTAAATTTACAGAGCAGACTAGTGGCTTATGTACTGCTGTACCATCTCATGGATACGGTGATCCTTATGCAAGCCCCACTATTGTACAAACCATCAACGTTGCTTCAAATCCAAGTAATATTCCCACCACTACTCCACCCGTCTTTCCAGTTCATCATTACTTGTATCCACACCAAATCCGCTCCCCTATGCCTTCCTCCACCAGCCACACCATATCAATCACAAACACTTTTGTGCTCTCTCCCAGTTTCGCTGCAGCCTGGCCCCAACATAACAGCATTCTTGACATGAAGCTCAGGAGCTCTCTGAAAGAGGTATTAAGGGACGTGATCATTCATGACAACATTTGGAGTGAGTTAGCACACTGCGTGCGCCAAGAGCCTGGATACCACCCTGAAAACTGGAAGTTTATCATTCAAGACTGCGGTATTCCCCACGATCGCATTGCTCAGGTTTTAAATGCTTTAAATGCTTTAGAAGCACGTCAGGTATATTGTAAGTCTAGGCCTTTTTCTTTCTTTCTTCAGGGATAGCTGATGAACCAAACAACTTAAGGATTGTTTTAGGAAACTGGATCATGTAAACACATTACTGATATACATGATGTACACTACAAATTGAATAGTTAGCAAATATATCTTCTGTTCGTATGGCTCCCACTACAGCGCCTCGTATACAACGGCATAAACCAAAGCTCACTGATGCACAAAAAAAACATCACCGTGAACGTTTTGTAGAGCTAACAAATGATATAGTCACTGCCCAGGAGGGATACGAGCAAGAAGCCAATGAAATTGCTCAAAAGCATGGACGGTACATATTGTTTACTACTTTTAAAACCATACAAAAACTCACCATAAACTACTAGGTCATTAAAGTGGACAAATTCACAGTTATACACAGGCAGTCAAATCACAAGACAGCATCGTTGTCCCAATGTATGGAATGCATTTATCCGACAACAGCTACATGCTGCAAACAACGGTAAGTATACTTCTCACAATCCAACTAACTCATTACTATTGATATTATTACAAGGTCGTGAGCATGGAGATCATTATCGACTTACTGATTTCATTGCAAAAAACAGAAGCCTATTAAAACAATACAAGAAGCTAACCACTGCAGAACAACAACAACTTTAACTACAGATCCTTGATATACAAAGTGCAAAACTACAAGCCAAGCATACAAATCCGAAGGCAATCCTGCAAGATGTCAATGCAACTTTCACCGCTATGGACCGCGAAGTAAGCAACCATCAAAAAAGTATTTTTATTTTACATTGATAGCATATTTTAGTGGACATCTATCTGCAAGCGCACCGGCACTGAAGGTTTTTATGTTGCTGTTTGGGGTGGTATTGAGCAGTTTTCCGAACCGAAGATGTTTTTCACCCAAAAAGCAGAATTGTTTATCCAACATGCATTGGATCTTGATCTGTGCCGCTAAGCACTGAAACTTGAGGCTTGGACTGTCAGCGGATTAGGTATTGTCCCTTTATAATTGTCGTTGATGTGGGCTAATTGTGATATTACTACTAGACAACATCTCAACAGCAAACCATGCTCGACCACTCAACAACTTGATCAGTCAGTGTCAAAGACTTATCCAAGATGGTCTTGGTGGGTCATTTATCTGTATCACTACATCAGCTAATTGAATATAGATTTGATTGCTGATGAAGATCATATTGCATCATCCGTACAAATGAATTATAACAACTACGAGAGAAAAATTGTAGAGAAATGTGGTGTCAAACTTAAGGGATGGCCTTTCCCAAAGATGTGTAATCCAAGTAAGATAGGTGGTAGGAAGGAAGTCAAAAAATTGGTTTCAGCGCTGCAAAGTCAACAGTGCAGGTGGGTAAAACTGACTACCGAAGAGGTGGAGGCTCGGAAGATACATACTGCAGAAAGGCAGAGAAACGGAGATGTTGTTTACAGAGACAGGAGAGCCACTCGTAAAAACAAGACTGTGGTAACAAGCACAGCAACTGTACAGTCAGATAGTGAATCATCACATGATACTTGAATCATGACAACTATTCACCTTCGCACTTATGCTTTGTCATATACGAATCATACATACCATGCTCCTCGAGTGTCTCAGCAGGAACACCAATATTTTGCGCAATTTCTGAGAGCATTTTGTGATAAGGTTGATTTCTACCTAGAATATGCTGAACTATGCACTGACTAGCCGGGGATAAAAGGCTTACTTACTTTTGAGCTCCTCTCAACGGCGGTGTTCAAATTCAACTTGGTCTTGATGAATTTTTGTGAGGGTCGACCAAGTAACATGTCACAGCCCACTGTCACGCAAGCTCATCATATGGATATAAGAAGAGGTGAGAAAAGAATACTTCTTGCGGCTCATAAATGCTCTGAATAATCAAGGATTGAGGTACTGAGATGTTGATGTGATCGGAGTAAGGATGAGTTCACAGCAAACAGCAAGAAGAGGACTATGCAGACGGTGTTGAGACGACAATGATGGGGATGATAAGGCATGAGAATATTTGCGAGGAGTTTTTGGGTAGGTCCGGGGCGGGGCTAGCAAGAAAGTCGGAGTTAGAATTTAAGGGAGCGGCCAGCAGATGTGCACAGACTAGTCAACACATAGCGTTGTTTGGTAGTTCTATATGGTAGTTCTATAGCACGGAGAGTATACAATTAAACTACGAACTGACAAGGAAAAAAAATGGTCAAAATTTGACAGTTTTTGAGTGAAATGTTGTGCTTGTCGTTGTCGACGATGAGCACACATGTATAGGTAACGATGGAGACACTGAACACGGTCCGAGCGAAGCGTGAGAAGGAATTACTTAAGTCTCAGCTAGGGTTAGGACCACGCATTATATTGTCAACCTACAGTCTACTCTTGAGTGCTGCAGCTAGGATTGAGCCGCCTAATTAGTGAGGAGGTCACGCTACAGCCCATTTACTAATTAGTAAGATTTTTGGTGTCACATAGGTGTACAGCAGCTTGAATTGACTAGACTTATACCAGTTATAGCTAAAAAAAGCTTGAACTTGGGGCGTTAGCATCACGCAAACGTCACACCGTGCTTTGACTGTGTTCTGGTTAATACAGACACTCTGGAGCCAACTCCCGCTCGACTCCAAAGCATCTGTCGATGTTTCACCCAGTGCTCTTCATTTGACATTGTGTTAGTCAAGATGTTCAGGCCATCAGATGGAAATCCGAGGACTAGATGGTCAGGTGCTCGTTTGTATGTTGAAGCCAAAGACTTTGAGCTGGTGATGGCTAAATACTTAGTTTGGGGGGCTCATATGATCAGGGCTTTCAATTTGAAGGAAGGACAATTTTATTTGAATGACTTAGTTGACAATGATATGTTCCTACGTTTTGGAAATTAATGACTACACTGTTTCTAATTGACAAATTATGACATTTGTTTTATAGTATGAGAAAACATGCATTGGCCAGGGCTTGAACCTGGGACTCCAGCTTTCATGGTCTGGTGCTTTACCAACTAAGCTACCAAGGCGTACTTGGAAAGCATACTGATTGGTTGCATGCCCAGAAGGTCCAGAATCACTGTACACGGGTGTGGATCCCATTGTGTTGTGATACTAATAGTAAATACCTTGATCCAAATCTCAAACTTTCAAACAGAGCCTTCCTGATTCCATCTATCTTGACCCACTCATACTCTCTTACACTCAGATTGTGTCTGGCCAGAAACAATCTGAGTCTCTTACTTTTTTATTTCAGCTGATCAGCCCGATCATTTTCTGTTTCGATTCTGATCAGGTTCTGGTCTGCGACAGCTCAGACCATCAGATCGTTCAGGAACGCTACAGACATTTGTAAGATCTGATCCGGTAAAATGGATTTTTCCGACATACAGTTGATATCATTCTGACGAGGTCAAGTGAAATCTAGGTCTTCTCGCACCGCCTATATGCCCCTTTCTTAGAACATTCCGTCCTTGTCGTGGGATCCCCTATTCGGTCCAAAAACAATGGAGCGGATAAAAGTACTCGTGACATAGTATGTTATTAACTCTAGGACCTAACCGATAATAGTATTTGTCTGTCAATACACTCCGACAACTTGAAGGGTTTTGGTTGTGCAACGTATACTAATGTGGCATATGATAACGAGACTCAGAAGTCTTCTTTGTGAGGTGTATGCGTGGTTCTCCTAGTACCCTGATCATTCTTTGAAATTTCCTGGTTTTGTGAAGGAGCCAAGTGATAGAGGTCAGTTTATCACCAACGTTGTTCACTCGTAAAAATAACTATAAGTTGATATGGACCTTTCAAGCCACAGTGTACTGTCTGTACAAGTTCCGAAGCCACAAGTCTAATCACTTTAGTGGGACCGCTAAATGTCATCAGAGGCACGAGTCACAGTTAGCACATCCTCACCTGATAGCGTATTTTCTATCATTGGCTGACGCTATTATTACTGCAAAAGGCAGTACATTCAATGCCTATCTGAGGCTTTCTGTGGAGAATGTTGTGACAATCCATCACACCCTCTCCAAATCGCTGGGAGCTCCGTCTCCAATAGCACCACGCATAAAAATTCCGTCAAACAAGGATCAGATCATGGGGAAGTATGAACCAGCCTGAGGGTACGTGCAGCTGATCTGACCCTGATAGTAACGGTGTGCATATAACACACACTCATGTCTGTTAACTCGAAATCCCTCCAACCACCTAAATCATGTTTGAAAGTTTGAGTACACCTTGTCTTGTTCTGGCTCTCTTGGTTGTTGTGCTGTTGGAGTCTACAAGGCATCTTGCCCGGAGACGAGGAGGCAAGAATTCGTTGTCTTTTCCTCCAGGCCCTTCATCGCTTCCTATCGTGGGTAACGCACTCGAAATCAACTCTACTGCACCGTGGATTACCTATGAGAAATGGGGCAAGACCTACGGTACACTCGTTCTAGTTATGTTGTTGTTCTCCCACACCTGACTGCTTACTTTCTTGTTGACTCGGAAGGCGAAATCATACACTACCGCCTTTTTCAACAACACGTCATCGTTATCAACTCTGAGCAAATAGCAAGAGACCTTCTCGAAAAAAGATCATACAACTATTCAGATAGACCTGCCCTCCTCACAACAGAGCTGTCAGTGTAATTCGTAGTATGTTAATCATCCCTCTAATGAATTCTACAGACTTGGCTGGTCGCTCCATAGTGCAGGGCTGATGCGCTACGGAAATACATGGAGACAACACAGGCGATTTTATCATCAAAGTTTACGGTCGTCTGCGGCTCTTTCCTACCGCCCTTTACAGATGCGCAAAATCCATGAGCTCTTGGTTGACATGCTTGAAGCGCCCGAGGATTTTGTGCGCCACACAGAGACGTGAGTCACCCACAGGAACACATTTAACCAGTTGAATTACCCCTCGCAATTTCTTTTGTCAGAATGGCCGCCTCTATTATAATTTCAATTACATATGGGTATGAGGCAGAGCGTCGCGATGATCCCCTAGTTTCCCTTGTCGAGAACGTCAATGACATAACGATGAAGGCGTTCACTCCCGAAGCCTCCGCGATCCTGACGTCCTGGCCCTTTCGTAAGCCTACTCAAAACTCGATCACAAATATTCCATAACGCCAATTTTTCGTAGTTTTGTACCTCCCTTCTTGGTTTCCTGGTTTAAATATCAAACGCGTTGCGAGAGGATTTCCAGAAATGTTGAACGAGATGATCGAAAAGCCATTTCAGTACACAAAAAGTCAAATGGTCCGCGCACTTCATTAATCTCGAATTGATTATTTGCCCCTGACATATCGAAAGGCCTCCAATCCAGCTATATCTTGCATGGTTTCTGATCTTCTTAATGAAATCAAGGACGCCCCTAATTATGACGAGCTTGAGCAAATAATGAAGGGCACTGCAGCTACTTCATTTTCTGGTAAGTGTCCTATAATGGCGTGTCATCCATCGTATTCACTTATCCTTATTTTTTTTTTCTTTCCAGCGGCAGCAGAAACGGTTAGTAAATTTCAACCTCGAGTCAATCATGACCTTATAACGTGTGTAACTAGACGGCTACGACTCTCATCGACTTCATCCTTGCGATGGTACTTTACCCAAAAGTCCAAGAACGAGCCCAAGCAGAGATCGACTCTGTCGTGGACAAGCATAGGTTACCTAATTTTGAAGATCGTAGTTCTCTGCCTTACGTTGAGGCTGTACTCCGCGAGACGCATAGATGGCGTCCTGTTGTACCCTTAGGTTGACTATTCATCGAGCCCTGGATATCCCTGCTAATGGTACATTCGCATCAGGCCTTGCACACGCTGCTGTAAATGACGACATTTATGAAGGATTTCATATTCCAGGAGGTATACCTCTATCCTACTCATTATTGAAAGGTTTCTCACGTCTTTTGTTAGGAGCGGTGGTAATCGCGAACGCTTGGTGTGTCATATCTCCCGTATATTGTATCTTCAATACGTATCTGAACGCTTTCAAGGACAATGTCACGAAATGAAGTCAAGTATTCTAACCCATCAGACTTCATCCCGGAGAGATTCCTTTCGGCAGATAACAAACTCAACGACGACACAGTTCCTTATGCATTCGGATTTGGCAGGCGCGTGTGTGTCGGAAAGCATGTAGCTGATGCAAGCGTTTGGGCCAGTATCGTGTCTCTTCTCGCAGTCTTCAAGTTCACCAAAGCCAAAGATAACCAAGGACGAGAGATCAACGTTGAACCGCAATGGACATACGGGTTGACAGTGTGAGTTTGACGTTTATCATTCTGCTAGTGCACCCCACGCTCAGCACTCACTGTGACATTTTGAAAGTCGTCCGGCCCCGTTTGCATGCCACATTGAGCCACGGTCAACGGGTTTGGACTCGAAAATGCTGCACCAAATGATAAGCCAATTTACGTAATTGAGGATCCAATGTGTACTGTCTCCCCAGTGGAATGCGTGTATTTGTATTGGTTGTATTCTTGATTCAAGCTGTGTTTCTCCCAATGTCGTATTTTGATTGTACTGACATAACGGCACTGATACTAGGTGTATCTATGCATTTTCAGATATATGAAAGAAAACATCATGTGGCTGAATAGTTTATTCAAATTTACAGTGGTATGGTGTTACAAGAAATCACCCTCTGCCAGTGGGCAGTCCTGGGCCCACTCTTTCCTGGATAGTAGTTTACTAGTAGGATCGTTCCCAGCCTGTTCTGGATCTTTGTTGGCAATCCGAGGGTAAATTAAGGCAATATATGACGAGGGCAAGGCCCAGGACAGGCTGGGCTCACTCGTCGCTCTTTTTGGTGGTGAGATTTTTCCCCTGCCATTATGACCTGCTGTCTTCGTTGTTTTCAGCCCCCAAAAAAAACTCCAAAAAAACGGTCTTTATGTCCTTGTCCCTACGTCCTCCAATACTCGCAATCACCATCTTGGATACAGAGCACGAAAACAGACCACTCATGAGGACCTCCACAGTGACCACGCCACACAAGTGCTCAACGATTCCCCTCACTGCAACTCCACTCCCCATAGGCTTAGCATTCAGCACCACCCTCGGTCGTGAAGAGACCGAATCAGTCATTCCCTTATCGCTGATGTTATCATTTTCAGAGAAGTTGGAAAATATGGCTAGATTCACTTAAATGGGATGCACTACATCCTATTGATATTATTCTGACGAGGCCAAGTGAAATCCAAGGTCTTCCCTCGCTGCCTATAGGCGCCCCTTTAAAAATTTTCATCCTTCTCGTGGGATCTCCTTGAGCGGATAAGGATACTCGCAAACATGACGTAGTATGTACTCTAATATATAAATTCTGGGACCTGACCGATGACAGTATTTGTCTATGAAGACACTCCGATAAAGGGATTTTGGTTGAGGACAGCATACGATAACGAGACTTCCTCCGAAGCCTTCTTCGTGAGATGTATGCGTGGTTCTCCTACCCTTATCATTCTTCGAAATTTCTTGTTTGAAAGAAGCCAAGTGACAAAGGTCAGTTTATCGCCAGCATTGTTTACTCGTTGAAGTAACTGTAAACTGATATGAACCTTTCAAGCGGGAATCAAGCCACAGTATACTACAAATTCCAAAGTCACAAATCTAATCACTTTAGTGTAATCGCTAAATGTCATCAGAGGACCTCCAGCGACAGTCGGCACATCCTTACCTAATAGCTTTTTTCCTGTCATTGGCTGAAGCTATAATTAGTGAAGGGGGGGTTGCATTAAAAGCCTATCTGAGGCTTTCTGTGGAGAATGTGACGATCCATATCCCCCTATAACACCCTCACCAAATTGCTGGGAGCTCCATCTCCGATAGCACGCGTGCAAGAATTCCGTCAATCCAGGATCAGGTCAAGGGGCAGTGTGCACCAGGGTACGTGCCAGCTGACCTGACCCTAACACTAATGGTGTCCATATAACACACACTCATATCGGTTACCTCGAAATCCCTCCAACCCCTTAAATCATGTTTGAAGGTTCGAGTACTCTCTCACTTGTTCTGGCTTTCTTGTTTGTTGTGCTGTTGGAGTCTACAAGGCGTCTTGCATGGAGACGAGGAGGCAAGAACTCGTTGTCGTTTCCTCCAGGCCCTTCATCGCTTCCTATCCTAGGTAACGTACTCGAAATGAACTCTACTGCACCGTGGATTACCTATGAGAAATGGGGCAAGACCTACGGTATATTCGTTCTAGTTATTTGTTGTTCTCCCACACCTGACTGCATACTACTTTCGTGTCGACTCGGAAGGTGATATTATACACTGCCGCCTTTTCAGACAACACGTCGTCGTTATCAACTCGGAGAAAATAGCAAGAGACCTTCTCGAAAAACGATCATACAACTATTCAGATAGGCCTGCAATCGTTACGAACGAGCTGTCAGTGCATTTCGTAGCGTGTTGGCCATCTCTCTGAATTTCACAGATTTGGCTGGTCGTCCCTCAACGCAGCGCTGATGAGCTACGGAAATACATGGAGACAACACAGACGATTCTATCATCAAAGTTTACGGTCGTCTGCGGCTCTTTCCTACCGCCCTTTACAGATGCGCAAAATCCATGAGCTCTTGGTTGACATGCTTGAAGCGCCTGAGGATTTTGTGCGCAACATAGAGACGTGAGTCACCCGCAGAAATACATATAACCAATTGACCTAGCCCCCTCAAATTTGTTCGCAAGATTGGCCGCCTCTATTATAATGTCAATCACATACGGGTATGAGACAGAACATCACGGTGATCCTTTGGTTTCCCTTGTCGAGACAGTCAATGACAAAACGATGAAGGCTCTCACTCCCGAGGCCTCCGCGATCCTGACGTCCTGGCCCTTTCGTAAGCCTACTCGGAACCTATCGCAAATATACTATAACGCCAGTTTTTGGTAGTTTTATACCTCCCTTCTTGGTTTCCTGGCTTGAATGTCAAACGACTTGCTAGAGGATGTCCAGAGATGTTGAACGAGATGGTCGAAAAGCCATTTCAATACACAAAAAGTCAAATGGTCCGCGCACTTCATTAATCTCGAATTGATTATTTGCCCCTGACATATCGAAAGGCCTCCAATCCAGCTATATCTTGCATGGTTTCTGATCTTCTTAATGAAATCAAGGACGCCCCTAATTATGACGAGCTTGAGCAAATAATGAAGGGCACTGCAGCTACTTCATTTTCTGGTAAGTGTCCTATAATGGCGTGTCATCCATCGTATTCACTTATCCTTATTTTTTTTTTTCTTTCCAGCGGCAGCAGAAACGGTTAGTAAATTTCAACCTCGAGTCAATCATGACCTTATAACGTGTGTAACTAGACGGCTACGACTCTCATCGACTTCATCCTTGCGATGGTACTTTACCCAAAAGTCCAAGAACGAGCCCAAGCAGAGATCGACTCTGTTGTGGACAAGCATAGGTTACCTAATTTTGAAGATCGTAACTCTCTGCCTTACGTTGAGGCTGTACTCCGCGAGACGCATAGATGGCGTCCTGTTGTACCCTTAGGTTGACTCTTTATCGTGCTTTGGAAACTCTTGCTAATGGTGCATTCGCATCAGGCCTTGCACACGCTGCTGTAAATGACGACATTTATGAAGGATTTCATATTCCAGGAGGTATACCTCCATCCTTCTCATTACTGAAAAGTTCCTCATGTCTTTTTGTAGGAGCGGTGGTAATTGCGAACGCTTGGTATGTTGTATACTGTCTTTATAATGTCTATCTGAACGCTTTCTAGGACAATGTCACGAAATGAAGCCAAATATTCTAACCCATCAGACTTCATCCCGGAGAGATTCCTTTCGGCAGACGACAAACTCAACGACGACACAGTTCCTTATGCATTCGGATTTGGCAGGCGCGTGTGTGTCGGAAAGCATGTAGCTGATGCAAGCGTTTGGGCCAGTATCGTGTCTCTTCTCGCAGTCTTCAAGTTCACCAAAGCCAAAGATAACCAAGGACGAGAGATCAACGTTGAACCGCACTGGACATACGGATTGACGGTGTGAGTTTGACGTTTATCATTCTGCTAGTGCACCCCACACTCACCACCCACTGTCACGTTTTGAAAGTCGTCCGGCCTCGTTTGCATGCCACATTGAGCCACGGTCAACGGGTTTGGACTCGAAAATGCTGCACCAAATGATAAGCCAATTCACGTAATTGAGGATCCAATGTGTACTGTGTCCCCAATGGAATGCGTGTATTTGTATTGGTTGTTTTCTTGATTCAAGTTGTGCTTCTCCCAATGTCGTATTTTGAAGGATGAAGAAAAACTCAGGTAAACGTTGAATGTTTGTAGTAGCACAGCGCGCAAATCTGAATTGTACTGCTAGTAATCGTAAGACTGACATAAAGTAATCACAAGATTTGCTTAGCTACACTTTCCGACCTTCGTCTACATTGCTTGTAACGGCTTTCTCCTTTGGGAATTATACGACGTGGGTCACTGAGATCGGGCTCTGTAACACTGGGGAAGGGGTTGCTGTGATTGTCAACGCGCGAGTACTCAAAACATGTGGAGGAAGAGCGCGATGGTAATCATCATGTCGAATTTTGCGATCCGCATTCCATGACAAGGGTGCAGACCTGAATATATGACGACGTTTTAGCTTAGTCATGAACACCATCAGTCGCAGCGATGTAGAAGTACAAAAACATTGTCAAGTCACCTACACCCCAATCCAAAACCTATCATTGACATGCTCCAACTTCGAAGAATCACCCCACCGCGCAGGGTCCTATTCCAGAGGATCAGGATAATTGTCTGGGTTGAGATTCTCGACAGCCATGGGGTACATCATAAATTCTCCATATTTGACCTTGAGACCATTTTTCTCCATGCCTTGACCCAAATCCGACGGAGAGTAGGCTCGTTTGGCTGTCGAAGGCGTACGTTGATGTGATGACAATATTGAATCGGGACTGCAGGTCTATCATATGAAGATCGGATAGATCTATGATTCTGATGGGAGTGGTAGTCTTCCCAGTCAGACCAAATTACTGACAGCATCGCCCTCCGGGCACCCCTGGCACCGACAACGATATTGAAGTGGGCATGTGAGCTCGAATCAAAGTGACATGAATTGCATTGACAAGATTCAGTCGTCTGCTAAGGCACTAACGTCACATGATCACCTGTGACTTTCTTGTATATATCTAATGGCACATATGCTAACATGTAAAGAATGTCAGAATATCAATGTCAAGAAAGAATCGGAGGTGAATGCTGACTCTATTCTTGCCGCAGTACTGTTTATAAGATTCAGTTAGCATATCTTGAAAATGAGATCAAACGCGCGGTACAAACAAACATCATGTTCCCCGTAGCTGAACTCCCGGGGTAAAGTTTCTCCAATCTTTCAGTCGGAATCAGTGATCTGTAAACGACGGTTCCCGTCCATTTAGAATCAATATATTCTGACAAACGTTGAACATCGATTTCTGATGGACTGGTCTTTGCCAATCCTTCAAAGAGTGCTTTACGCGTAGCGGACCTAATCCCATCGGCGCCAATGAGTACATCTGCTAACGCCGTGCTCTTGTCCGAGAAGTGCAAGGTCAAGCCGCCAGAGTCGTCTTGTGTATAGGTTTTCAAGCGTTTCATAGTATGGATCGTACAACTTGGTGATAGATGTCGTACGAGGAGATTTACCAAGTCACGACGGTGAAGGTTGGTTGGGCTATCTAAACGTCCCCAGAGTTTTAATTCCAGCTAAAAACATGAGATGCTGTACTCACAAGTGAAGATTTGATCAAACCATTTGATACCTCCTTCAGGAATATCTGATTTTCGGAAAGAAGGGCCTGAGGTACGAGCAAAGCGAGCAAGCTGAAGTCAGCACTCATGACGTTGTCATTCAGGATGCCTTTATTCTCGGCCGACTCCTATCCCATGAGCTCACAACTCTGTCTAACCTACCCGATGTCCTTCGTATATACCAAGATATACGACTGCCGGTTGCCACACAAATCTCTCAAAGAGCTGCTAGCACCGGGTACATGTACGACTTCGTGGCGCCTGGGTATTACGATGGCAAGGACCGGTCAGAAGAAGAGGAGGGACTTGCGCGGCTGAAAGATGCTATCAATGAGAACTGGGATTGGCTTGCACAGGAAGGATCCTTGAGCGAATGGACAGAGGCAGAACGCCGCCTAAAGGAATTGGCGTCACAACCTTAGAACACGCAGTGCTATTCCTGGGTGACCAGGTTTAGAAGTATTGATTGTCCTGATCTCTAGCAGGAGCCCGTACGTATTTTCGCCTCGCTCAAACCGTATTACACCCTCGTCCGGCGACACACAAATTCTCGAGACTATGTTTCCCGTAGAGCCTTGCTATTAATATTGCTGCTGGCAGTAATATACCTTAGAGACTCACTCACAGGGATAACCGGAAATCTAAGGGAGGGAAACACGAGGCACCGGCTACTGTCACTCGCAAAGATTCCTGTCAGCTCAGGCATGATGGTGGGACTGATCTCTGTTTTTCAACACCAGAGAATCAGATGATATCTCAAATCCCGTATTTGCTAGTAGGATTACAGAATTGCGTATCGCTGGATGCGTGATGACATATCCCCCAACACCCCGAGTATATACAGCAGATGGTGTCATATGATTGATTAATATGATTGCAGTATACTAGTAGATGTCTGTATCTTGCTAGCGATCGACTCGCATATTTTGAAAATTTGATATATAACTTGTGTACGAGTAAATGACCGGTAAAAGTAGTAGACGATAGTTCATTCAACTTCCATCCTTTTGGACCCAAACATAATATCGTCCAAAGAGATGGAAGAGTGATCGCACATTTCTCTAAATATGCTATTAGGTATGGAATATAGTGTGCTTGGCGTGTCGAATTCCTGGTATAATAGCTCAGTAGAGAAAATGAGGAATAAGCGGAAACTGATACTCACAGCGATGCGGCCGCCATCAAGCACACATATTCTGTCGTATGATATGATAGTACGTAGACGATCTGACAAAAAAAAACATGAGGATAGATTAATAACAGGCAAACGATAATACACACGAGCAATGCATAATATCGTCCTATCCTTGAATTCCGTCATAATAGTTTCTTGAATTTTGCGATCGGTTTCATAGTCAACAGACGCTGGTGAAGGTGGTGAAGGTTCAACGTCATGAGGGTATCAGGTATTCGAGATAAGCATACCCGTTGCTTCGTCTAAAATGAGCACTTTCGTGTCATTCACCAAAGCCCGCGCTAACGAGACTAAGGATCGCTGCGAGACAAAGCCATGAGTCAATTGCTGGCCATTCAAACAATGAAATACAGCTCACTTGTCCAACCGAAAGATTGTTACCTTCCTCGTCGATGGGGCTGTCTAGGTTGAACCGAGCAACTGGTGCTTTTTCGTCCAATGTGTCTTCAGGCAGTGATTCCTTCGACGGTTCAACGAGATATGATCGCTTCAATGCATCCCAGAGCTTGGCATCGTCGTACAACTCGAAAGGATCTAGATTCGACCTCAGTGTACCGGAAACTATACAGATATTAAGTCACGAGAACACGCGTATACCAGAAAAATCTCACATAAGAACTACAAGGGACACGGCGCATCAGTCAATATACAAGGAGAATCAAATATGCAACAAACTCACAGCTTCCTGAGGAATGATAGAAAGCCCACTCCGTAATTTCATCAGACCCACAGAAGATATATCAACACCGTCGATCGATATACAACCAGATTCTAGTTCCACGATGCGAAAAAGGGCCGTCATGATTGACGATTTGCCAGCACCCGTGCTGGTAAAGTATTAGCTAAAGGGTATGATGGATAGAGATATAAACATTTTACCGGCCAACAATCCCTATCTTCTCTCCAGGTTTTATCGACATTGAAAGGCCCTTCAGAACCGGAGGAAGTTCAGGACGATACTTCAAAACAACATCCTTCATCTCTACTTGTCCTTCCGAAAGCCATGGAGTAGATAAAGTGCATGCGTCAAGCTGATGGGGAGGCTCTTGCTCTGCTTGGTTAGCATAGTGTACGATACGCTCTACTGCATTCATATCGTTCTCTACTCTGCAGTTTGGCGAACATGATACTGAATGTCTAGAAATTTTCAGAAAGAGCA